TCTCACAATGGAGACATTACTGAGCCCGCTTGAGAAAACTGATGAACAACAGGAGGACAGTGACAGTGACAGATTAATGAGGTAATGAGCATACTTACACTGAGTCAGGGAGTATCTTAAAAATGGAATTGTTGGGACCTAGCACAGCTATTTGAGCACATGCCTGGTGTGTCCCCTGGTGAGGACCCCAGCATCACCTGTTCCCCCCTTCCTCCCCTCCCCCCATGCATGGCTACATGCAGCCTGGGGGCCCGAACACCCCAGGTGGCCTGGGTTCCCGGCACCTGCAGGGCCAAGCAGCTCTGTGTACTGGGGCCAGGTTGGACAAGAATTGTGGGTGGGGGCCCTGGGCCTCCTGAACCCGTCCTGCCAGGCATCCCTGTACCCCAAAACAACTTTTCTGTTCAAAGAAACACAAGATGCCGTTGTCAGCGCAAGAGGAAAACTCTGAAACGGTTAGCATCATTGTTATAAATCTACATTAACCAGCATGCAGCTTTCTTTCCAGACAGACAGCACGCACAAGCCTTAACATGAGAACGGAAACATACCTATTTCTTTTTCACTTCACTTAATCACTTAACTTCCCGTTAGTCGTCGATTTGTTCGAGCGGGCGCCAGTAACGTCTCCATTTGTCCCTGTCGCGTGCTAGTGTAGCCCAATGGCATCTCTTCGCTCCGGGAACATGGAGGGCCTCAAACCGATCGTTCATGACCTTTACAAAGAAGTCTGACCATCTGGTAGGTGGGCGGCCACGCGGTCTCTTGACATCCCGTGGAATCCAATCAGTAACAGCTCTAGTCCAACGGTCGTCTTTAAATCTCATTACGTGACCAGCCCATCTGATTTTCGACACCTTGGCAAATGAGACAGCGTCCCTGATCCTTGATCGTCGACGGATGTCAGAACTCCGGATTCGTTCTCTCATTTGAGTGAAACGTGATATTCCAAGCATAGCTCTTTCTATTCTTCTTTGGGAGACCTGAATGGCGTTCTCATCTTGTTTGCGTAGGGCCCAGGTCTCTGAGGCATATGTTAATGCAGGAAGAACAGTGGAATCAAAGAGATGTGCCCGGAGCCGGAGGTTCTTCGTCCTCTTAGCTATTTCTTCGACGTTCTTGAAGGCGTTCCAAGCCGCTCTCTTCCTCCTGCGCAGCTCGGGTGCCAGGTCATTTGTCATGTTGACCTCTCGACCTAGGTACACATAGCTGTTGCATTCGGAGATGGTCGTTCCATTGAGAGCGAATGGGGCGTCAGGAACAAGGCTGTTTCTCATAAACATTGTCTTCGTAAGATTCAGCTGTAGTCCTACCCTTCCACACTCACGGTCAAAGTCGGCCAGCATTTGTGCCGCTTGGCTGATGTTTGGTGTTATTAAAACAATGTCATCAGCAAAGCGGAGGTGGTGTAGTTGCCGACCATCTATCTTCACTCCCATTCCTTCCCATTCCAGTCGTCGCATGATGTTCTCGAGGGTGGCACTGAAGAGTTTTGGTGAAATGGTATCACCCTGCCGCACCCCTCTCTTGACATCAACGATCACTTCTTTGTAGAATGGTGAGATCCTGGTAGTGAATCCGCAATACAGCTCACGGAGAATCCTGATGTATTGGGCTTGAATGCCCTGATTGGCTAGGGCTTCAATGACCGCTTCCGTCTCAACAGAATCAAAGGCCTTCTTTAAATCAATGAACGTTAAGCAGAGCGGCATCTTGAACTCCCGAGAAACCTCAATGAGTTTGGTTATCGTGTGGATATGGTCGATGGTGCTGAATCCTTTGCGGAACCCTGCTTGCTCACATGGTTGTCCTTCATCTAGTGTTCTGCCAATCCTATTCAGGATGACTCGAGTGAACAACTTGTAGATGACAGACAATAGGCAGATCGGGCGATAGTTGCCAATGTCATGGATGTCTCCCTTCTTGAACAGTAGTACGGTCCTGCTGGTTTTCCATTGAGATGGAACCTTGCATTCAGACAGGTAGCGAGTGAAGAGCCGAGCCAGTGTATTGATGAGTACTGACGGCAGGTTCTTCAGGTGTTCAGGTCTGACCTTGTCTGGGCCGGGTGCTGTTTGCTTCTTTACTGACGAAATGGCGTGTCGGATTTCGGAAGGGAGAACGTTGGGAACGACATACCCATCCTGTGGAATTTGGTATGTCGGCAAGTGGACATGGCTATCGAAGAGATTTGAGTAGAAGTCATGGATAATCTTCTCCATTGCCATTCTGGAGGAAATGATGGATCCATCAGGACGTCGGAGGGCAGTCATCTTGGTCTTGTAGTTGGCGAAGGACAGGCGGGCGTTACGAATACTTTTCCCGGCTTCTGCCGCATCTACCAGTACTTCTGCTCTTCTCTCTTTGAGGTCTTCCTTGATCGCATCTCTGCACTGCTTTGCAAGCTCGGACGTTAGCTTGCGGTTGCCTGAGGCATGCGCCAAACCACGCTGGCGAATTAGCTCAAGAGTTTTCGAAGATAGGCGACTTTTTGTGGCTATCTCTCTCTTGGCGTTCCTCGCACATTCATGGAGGTGCTGAACCAGTCGATCGTATTCCTCGTCAATGTTGTCAACAATGGCATCTTCCCATGTTGCCGCAATAGTACCAAAGAGTTCCCAGTTGGTGGTCGTTCTGGGAGTTCTCTTTTTGAACTTTGCAGCCCTTTCTCCCCGCTCTGTGAAGTAGAATTTTGCACGAAGGAGACGGTGGTCCGATCCCGTTCGAAATTTTGGGACAACAGCGACATCAGTCAGGCAAAACCGTCGATTGAATATGATGTGGTCTATTTCGTTGTGGAATCGTCCACCGGGAGACTCCCATGTCCATCGTTTAGATTCTGCCTTCTGGAACTGTGAGTTACCATGAATGGTCTTGGTCGACATGATGAACTCAGACAGTCTCTCACCCTGTTCGTTCCATTCTAGGCCATGGGTTCCGATGTGAAGTTCTTCAGCTGATCTTCTCGGTCCTATCTTGGCATTAAAATCACCCACAATGATCTTGTAGAAGGTGTGGTCTTCTTTATAGAACTTCTCTAGCTCCATGTAGAACTTCTCGATTTCTCTTTCATCATAATGAGATGTTGGTGCGTAGACAATGAAGATAGAAACTGCAGGCAGTGAGCCACATCTATTCAAATGTAAACGTCCGATTCGGGTTGTTAGGCATTCAAATGAATCAATGCTCTTGGCTAAGTTTGTGTTGACAAGGACACCGACGCCTCCAACACCTCTGTTATCGCATGTTCCGAGGAACAATTCTTCTCCAGTGTCGAAAACGGCATGGTGAGATTCGTGTCTTCTTGTCTCGGTCAGACCAATGATGTCGTACTTGATCATTCGCGCTTGTACCATCAGGTCCTCGATGGATGCATCTGATGCTAGCGTACGTGCATTGAAAGTACAGACGATCATTTTTGTCTTCCTTCGTTGTGGCAGCCTAGGTCGGCCTTGAGATTTTGTCGGCCTCTCCTTTCTCATCCTTCTCAGTGCTGCCATGTCGGTGAAGCCTTCAGGGTCAGGTGAATGAGACCAGTTGTAGTTACTGGTTTTGGCATATCGAATAGACAGCGGATAGCTTGCCAGGCTCTTCCGTGCGGGCGGAATACTCTCGGTAGCTTGCCAGTCTTTCCGAGAGGTATAGAGGCTTTTGGGGTGACCTCTAATCACCCTTGTAGGTGTTACCATATTTGAACCCTATCAAATATGGTACGACAATTCCAGAAGACGGGTATTTAATGTTTTATGATGTGTCGCGCGGCCACTTGCGGCCGCGCGGGTCCGGAAAGCGTCCTGGAGTGTGGCGACGGCTGGGTAGTGGAAGTAGTGTTCTTTTTAATTTATTAAAAATTTTTTATTGACTCACCCTGAACTTAGATTTATTTATTTATGTATGTATTTTGGTTTATGGGTCTCACCCAGTGATGTTCAGGGTTTCCTCCTGGCCCTGTACTCAGGAATTACTTCCGGTAGTGCTCAGGGGAACATATGGGGTGACGGGGATCAAACCTGGGCCAGCCATGTGCTAAGCAAGTGCCCCACCGGCTGTGCTATTGCTCCAGCTCCTGTTTCTTCTTAGATTTAGTTGAACTGCAGTCAGCCAGGGCTGGGCCACCAGGGAGGATGGCCTTGTATGGAAGCAACCAGCCAAGGGCTGGGAAGATGGAACTGAAAGAGAGCTTTGCATTTGCTTAGAAAATGATGAATGCACATGAGGAGTAATTGCTGAGTGCAAAGCCAGGAGTAACCCCTGAACATCTCCAGGTGTGCCCCCCTAAACATTTTTTTAAAAGATGGATGCAGGAAGTTGATGGCAAAGATGGGGTAGCTTTCCAGTTCACCTTGGGCTGGTATACAGTTGGGTGTGAAATCTTCCTAATTCACAAGGACCTAGGAAGAGGCTCATGAGAAGTTGATAGCAAACACAAAACCAGCCTGAGGCAAAAAAAAAAAGGTGTGTGTATTTGCCCAAAGGGAATAATAAAGGTGACTCTGCCCGCAGGCAGATGGACTGTCTGGGCGAGAGTGGTACAACAGGACGGCGGCTCCTGCCCCTTCTGCTGCCCCTGGTTCACAGACAGGTGGTTGGCGGTTCTTCTGGGATTGTTTCTGCTTGCAAAGTGGGTTGCTAAAACCCTCGCGGGGAAAGGAGTTCTGGCGCACGCTGAGCTGTGTCTTGGAACCCAAGGACAGCAGGGAATACTCGAAAGGACCCAGACTGCAGGATTCCGCCTGCAGGAGCAGCTTGCAAAGGCAGGTTTGCAACGGCGGTTCGAGGGGCCAGCGGCTGTGGGTGGCGGATTCGTGCTCGGGACGGGGACAGTCTTGCGGGGAGCGGGCGGGGTGACCGCACGGAGGCGCAAGGAGGGTAGGGCGGCCCTTAGGGAGGCCCGCACCCTGTGCCCGCAGCCCCGAGGGGCAGGATGGTCAGTGGCCGGTGTGCGGGCAGTACCCCGCGCCGGGCCCGACCGGCTGCGGGCGGGGGACCTGCCCGGTGGGATGGGCGACCCCTCTCCGGACGCGCGGGCCCGCCCCTCCAGCCTTCACCCCCTCAGCCCCCCGCCCCCCGCCGTCATTGGCCGGGGCGGGGCGGGCACCTGCGGCCACGTGGCGGCGGGCGGGGCTGCGCGGGACTGTGCCCGGGACCGTGGCCGCCGGCTGCCAGGTGCCGCCTCCGCGGGACGGGGGCGCTCAGGGGTGCGGGGGGGCGCTCAGGGGCGCGGGGGGCGCTCAGGGGGCGTGGAGGGCGCTCAGGGAGCACGAGGTCGCGGGGGGCTCTCAAGGAGTCCGGGGTCGCGGGAGGCGCGCAGGGGGCGCTCAGGGGTGGCGGGGTCGCGGGGGGCGCTCAGGGGGGCGGGGGCGGGGACCGTGGCTCAGTGCGTGAGTCTGGGGTCTCCTCCCGCAGGCAGGCCCGAGGCTGAGGGGCAGGTGGGAGGCTCTGGCACTTTCCCCAGGGCACCTCCCTCCCCCACTCTCCGCTACCGTGCGCATCCCTTCGCCCCTCCGCCCTCCCCTCCTCCCCTTTCCTGTTCGCCCCTCCAGGAGGGGCCCGGGCCAGGGCCCCCAAGCAGAGCTGCGACCCCAGCCTTCCCTCGCCGCCGCGCCCTGCCCAGCACACGCAGGACGCTGCCCGGAAGCCGGGCGGCACCGAGGGAGGGTGCCCTGCTGATGGGACCGAGACCCGGGATGCTGGCCAGGCGCGTTGGGGTTTTCTGAAAACCCTTTTATGAGCCACTGGTGGAACTGCTCTGGGCTGACCCCCGCAGTGCTCGGGACACCGCATGCAGTGCCAGGGGTCAAGCCCGAGCCCACGCAAGACCAGTGCCCACCACTGCCCAGCGTCTCTCCCTTGCGTGCCCTCCCCAGGCCCTGCTGGCTGGTTCTCAGGACCGCCTCTTGCTCGCCCCCTTTCACCCACTCCTCACCCGCACCCTGGGCTGCTGGTGCCTTTGCCGGGCGACCTTCACCCGAGCACGGCCGCGCCCTGCAAAGGGCAGCTGGCCGGTGGGCCCGACCCTGCTCTGACGCTCGCTCAGGGCGGAAAGGGCAGCCGAGGGTGGACGTTGTTTTGGAATCCGGAGCCCTGAGCACAGGTGGGCCCTGAAGGACCGAGGGGGCGGGTCTGGGTGTCGAGGGCTGGAGGGCAGCCCGTTGCCCCCGCTGCAAGAGGGCTCCCGCTCAGACCCCCGCCCCGCCTTCCAGCAGCATGGCCCAGACGCCTCCCGTGCAGGAACTCTTCCACGAAGCCGCCAGGCAGGTAGGTGGGCTGGGCTGGGCCAGGAGGTGGGGGGGGGGGGGCGGCTGGGGGTCTTGTCCAGCAGTCAGAGACGGGGGTCAGGGCTGGCTGAACACAAGGCAAGGCTCTCTGCAAGTCCAACCCGGCGCTGTGGAGACTGCGCGCTGGGCGTCTATTAGTCAGATGGTAATATAGCCAACATTTCACACACTTTATGCTTCACCTAAAATTATAAATACAGTACAGGAAGATGGCAATTCAGTACACTTGGGTGGATCAAGACAATTTGGTTATTCACCAGCAGATCCATCCTTTAACCGCATGGAACATTTTCACCGTGTGGTCAAAGCCTTTTGGGATTCCACAGTTCTTTTTGTTTTGTTTTGTTTCTGAGCCTCTCTCGGTGGCACTCGGGACTCTCTCTTGGCTCTGGACTTAGGGTTCGGTCCTGGAAAGGCTCAGGGGGCCAGAGAGGGGATCAAACCAGGCCTGACCACAGGCAGGACAAGTTCCCTGCCCACTGTTACATCTCTCCTACCCCATGAATTCCAAAATTCTTATCAGTTTTATTTTCTTGAAGTCTAAATTTTCTCTTAGTCCAGTATTTTATTGAGAATATCTTATCAGCCCAAGGCTGAAGAGATAGTCCAGAGCTTAAGATACTCAAGTAGCATGTGACTGTGTTCCCACCAGTGGTTCAAATTCCAGCGTCACACACAGGACCCCAAGTACCACCAGGTACAGAGCCAGGTGCACCCCCGTGAATGTAGAAAAGGCTCCATCCGTCCACCCTCTCTTTGTTTCTTTCATTTCCTCTCCTGGAGAAGGAAGTTGAGCCTGTTGATTTCAGTCCATGCATTAAACAGGGAGCAATAATAATAAAAGTAAAATTCCTACCTTATCAGTCCAGCTGCTAGTAGCATCTATGGCTACTTACATGGTTTAAAAAATATGTTTATTAAAGCACCATGATTTACAAAGTTGTTCAAAATAGAGTATTTTCAGGCATGCAATTGGCTCTGATACCAATCCTACAGCCAATGTGACCTTCCCCCTCTCCCCAGCTGGCCCCCCTTAGCAGGCACAAACAAATTTATTTCACAGTGCTTGTTATATGAAATATAACTTAAGGAAAGAAAACTTAAAGGAATGATAAATGGAATTATTAGAAAATAAATACAATAAGTCAGTTTTTGTGACAAATTGCTATATGACTTTAACCTATGCAAATAAATTAAAATTATGTAATATTACTGCCTACTCTCATCTACATAAATAAGTTTTCAACCCTGGTATCAAATATATTGCATTCATTTTTATTTTCTACTTGCTTCTCATTATGGTAATAATCCTGTCTTCCTTATTATTTATAAAACTATTTCAAAAAATTCTTCACTAGTCTATTTTGGAGTTTGCATAAAATAGGTAAAGTATACATTTGTAAAATTTATAGTAAGAGTGAAGAGAATTAGACTATTTAAAGAGGGAAAATCTGAATAGGCCTACAAAAGTACAAAGTGTTTTATCCTAAGAAAAGAAATATTGGTTTTATATTAGAAAATATTGTAGCTACTGCTTAAGCATGATTTAATGCAGACAAGAGATTGTGACAAAATATGTGGGTGTAAAATTAAGACTGATAAGACATAGAGCATTCAATAGAAATGAGACATTAATTCACCCTTGAAAGTGTGTAAATTCCCTTAGCCAGGAGTAAACATACCGTCCTTCCTCTAAGAGAGGGCGACCCTAAGCGCTGCGCCTGAGTGAAGATCCGGTGCCATGTGCTGGGAAGTTTGTCCTGCCCTTAAAGAAGCTGCTTTTACGCTTGTTGTAAAACTGGTTCCAAGACTTTAAGTGTCTTCAGCTATTTCCTGTCCCTGAAGCTTTGCATCGTTACTTCAAATATGGGTGATAATCTAGCCGGATAGTGTGTTTCATCAAGTTATTTTACTTTGTGCCGCTATTCTCTCCTGACTCGTAGCGTGGCATTGGATAGACCTGCTGTGAATCTCGAACTTTTTCTTTGTATATTTTCCTCTTTTGGTCTTGCTGCTTTCAATTCTGTCTCACTCTTTGGAAATTGACGTTTCGAGTACAATGTGTTTTGGAGCTTTGCTAGTGAGGTCTGTTTTTGATGGGACCCTTCCGGCTACTTGGGTCTCAGTGTCTGCAATCCTAAATTCTAGGAAATTTCTTTCTGTTTCTCTAATTATTTCCTCATCACACTTGCCTTCCTGCTCTTCAGGGAGTCCGATGACTCTTATATTGTTCCTCCCCAGCTCATCCCGTAGTTCTCTTGGATGCTGCGCGAGTCATTTCAGACTATTTCCCACCTTCTGTTGTTTTCTTTCTTCTCTTTTGTCTTTTGGTTGTCTGTGTCATTGTTTCCTGGATCTCATTAAGCATGGTCATCATGGTGTCCCCATAGCCACTGAGGGTTTCCCGAGAGGCCGGAGCTTTTTGGGTCTGTCCTCTTATTTTCCCTCAGAGCCTGATGGGCGTGACGTGTGTCTCCATCGGGGTCCTGGGCCCTGTCCCACACCGAGCCCACTGATGTGCAGTTCAGTTTGGAGGCTTTTTGATGTTTGCTTGTTTGGAGGGAGGGAACACCCAGAGGTGCTCAGGACTTAATTCTGGCCCTCATTCCTCGTGGCAGTGCTCACTGTGGGCAGAGTGGGGGCTCAGTGGTGGGCATGCACCTGTCACTGTCTCTCTGAGCCCATCACTAGCTACTTTATTTCTTCCACAATTTGTACGCCACATCATTTATTTTTTCCCCCTGCCTTTAGATGTCCTTTTTGGTTTGGAAGAGAAGACAGCATTGTTTATGTTAGCCATGTTCAGCTTTCTTGAAGCTTTTCTGAAGATTTGCATGCTTTTGGTTTCGCTCAGGTAACTGAGATTTCAGAAACTCCAATGATCATTTCCTTGCATGGAAAGATTTACTTGGAAAAGTCCAATAAGAGTTAAATGTTCCAGTTAATTCACAGTGAAACAATCCCATCATCAAGTACCTTTGAAGGGCACCTTTTCTGGATGGCAGCAGTGCCTCTCTTGAAGAGTGATCTTCCCCAAGTCTTTTGATTGAAAAACCATCTTCTGTTTTAAACAGCAACAGCAGAACACACCTGCGGCAGGCTTTCCTGTGACTGCCTTTGACCTACCTGGAGTGGACAGTCGCTCTGCCCATGGCAGGGCCTGCTCACCAGGCCTGTGGTTTATCCTGGCTAGAGGTGTGCCAAGGTCTTGGCCCCTGTTTGTAGAGGGTCCAGACTCGGATAATAGGGTCACCTTCCAATATTGAACCAAACCCACATCTGAAGGGAAGTGAATTTCTGAAAAACTCTGGTGTGCACTCATGGAAATCAAATAGGTTTTCGGAGCTCCTGATACCAACAGGTTTTGTTTAGTTATTATTATTTTTTAATTTATCCTCTGCCTGATGACCTAATGATCTAATATTGATCATCATAGGTGGGAAATCGATGTGACTCTGCAGAAATAATTAATTTCTTAAAAAAAAAACCAAAAACATGCTTAGGTATTTGTCAGGAAATTGCTTTTTCTCCCCGCGGTCTTTGCTTTTTGTTTATTTGTTTTTTATTTTTATTTTTGGTCTTTGCTTTTAAAGCAGTGCTCATCTGCAGCCTCTCTTAGGCTCCTCTCCCTGCTCAGATCTGTCAGCGGCTCCCTGTGGGTACAGCCCTCCAAGTTCAGGCCCCTAACCCAGGCCCCTGCGTGCTGAGCCTGGGCCCTAGCACCCTCTCGGTGCTCCATCTCCAGCCCAAGCCCGGCACCCCTGGGCTCTGTGCTCACATCTTTCCCGGGAGCTCATCTGGTCCCTCCCAGTTTACGCTTAAGTGACTTGTCATTTGCATTCTCCAGCAAGCAAGAGTGGGCCTGGCAAGGTGAATGCTATGTGTCGAGCTACCAAGTAAGCAAAGAGCGTAGGTTACCATGGTGCTGGTCAAAGCCCGTTGAGCATTGAGTGCCTTTCAGGGGTTTGAAAGGAGATAATGATGTCGGGGGAGAGAGACAGAGAGACAGAGAGATAAAGACACACACACAGAGACAGAGACACACAGAGAGAGAGAGGGAGGGAGGGAGGGAGAGACAGAGACAGAGACAGCAGTTAAAGCGCTTTCCGGTCTAGGTCTAGCTGACCTCGGTTTGATGCCTGGTACTGTATATGGTTCCCTGAGCACTGCCAGGAGTGACCCCTGAGTGCAGAGTGAAGAGCGGGCTCTGAGCACTGGCACCACTGACAGACTGAGGCCTCTGCTTACCCATCTACCTTTGTCTTAATGTCCTCAAGTGACACACTGGCTAATAATGTTCAGTGTCACACTACTTGGTGTTCAGTGCCTAGACACGTTTGATACCCCGGTTTCTCTTTCCCCTTTTCTGTTTCCCACGAGCTGTCCTGTCCGAGACATCACTTCTTGATTATTATTCATTCCCTCCTACCTTCTTTCTCCTCTGCAGATCTTCCTTCTCATTACTGCCAAAGTGACCCTTTTCTTTCTCCATTTTTTTGGAGGGTGGGGAGCATTGCTCAGGGGCTGCTTTGGCTGAGTCCTCAGGAGTGGCTTCTGGTAGTGTTTGGGGAGTCATGTGGGAAATACACTCCCTGGGCCTTGGTGCTGTCTCCCTAGCCCAAAGGCCTTCTCTGAGGCGCGTCTGTGCATTTGACTCCTTGCTTACATCCTTCCTGTGGCTTACCATCTTTGCAGTTCGGTTCAGACTCATCCAAGAGTCCTCGAGCCCAGACTCTCGCTCCGCACCTGCTCCACACCAGCTGGGTAGTAAGGAGACAGGAAGAGGGGTTAGGATGCATTTGTGGCTGAGGTCCCAACCTCAAGGTCAGCAGGCTCACCGGGCAGGTGCATGTGTGGCCCAGTGTGGTGGGCCGGGTGGGGATCTTGGGCAGGTGAACGTGCGTGGCCCAGTGTGGCGGGCCAGGTGGGGGTCTTGGGCAGGATGGGGCAGCCCGAGCTGGATGGAGACTCTGGGCCAGC